ACAATTTGTATGATGCAAACTACAAAACATTCCTGCAAGACAGAAATGTTGGTTTCAACCAAAAGAAAGAAATTTCCTCTTGGAGAAGGTGATTTAATATCTTCAAGATGTTAGTTCCCCTTAAGTTAATTTACAGACTAAAAGAAATCCCAATAAAAATACTGACAAATTATTTTTTCTGGAGCTAGACAAATTAATGCTAAAATTTATATGAAAAAGCAGGCATGCAAGAATAGCTCACAAAACACTGGAAAAGAGGAGCATATAAGGGGAACTGGTTCTAATTTATACTAAAATACACTGAAAATCCTCTCTAATTAAAGGAGTGTGGTAATGGCATTTTAGCAGAATGATGGACCAATGAACTAGAATATAAAATCTAGAAATCAAGTATATAGTGAAATTAGGAATATGATAAAGGGTAACTAAAATCACTGAAGCAAAGAAGGATTGTATAAAAAATGGTCTTTGGACAACTGAATAGCATGTGAAAAAGATTATATCCATAATTCATGCCATACTCAAGAATAAACAGTGAGTGAAACAGAGATCTCAATGTCAAAACTCAAGTATATTTGTAAGAAGAAACTGTGAATTCCTCTATCCCTAGGGTATAAATAAAGATTGTTGACTATGATCAAAAATCTATATTCAATAAAATATGTGTTTAACTTATGGCTATAATGAAAATGAAAAAAATGCATTAAAAACCCATAAGCAAAGTCAAAATATAAATGACAATTGCAAGCAAATATATGAAATACACATCACCAATAAAAACAAATATCTCTAAAATACTTTCTAGAAACTGAGGGGAAAAAAAGATCAGAAGCTGGATAGAAAAGTGGGCAAAAGACAAAGACAATTCACAAGATAGATATAAAAATGGCCCGTAAAACACATGGCAAAATATGCCACTTCACTCATAAGCAGAAACAACATCAAAATATCATATCTCACCCAATGACTTGACAAACATGTCAAAATTTTCTAGATACTCTCTGCTGTTAAGACTGTCATAAAATATATATATTTCATTCTCAAATATCGGGTGGGAGTACAAAATAGTACAACCCTTATTGAGGGCATTCTGGCAATATCTAACAAAACTACATATGCATTAACCCTTTGACCACCAATTCACTTGTAATTCACCCTGAAGATCCACTTCCAATAATGCAAACATACAGAAGCACAAAATTATATATTACAGCATTATCTGTAAAGTACAAAAATACTCAAAACTAGTTAATACCCAAATACAGTTGACTGGTTGAATACACTGGCACATCCTTATAAGAAAGTAGTATACAGCTTCTAAAAAACAGAATAATCTCTGAATACATATGGAATGATATGGATGAATGAATGAATATAAAAGTTGTCCCTCTCCCCACTATGGTATTAGTATTATAATTCTGAAACCACTCTGTGTGTGCTGTAGGACTGAGTAAATGAGATAATATATTGATGTTATTGGGAGCCACGGTTCTCACTGTCAAAAAAACAGAGAATATCTCCATCTCATCTACAAATACAGAAAGGGGAAACAAATAAGAACCCTGAGGGGTACTGGAATTGGAGAGCAGCAGGATGAATCTGTAAGTTCACATTTTGTACATATACATGTGTTTGTGATTTTTTCCCCCAAGTTCTGGTGCTGGAAGGCCCAGAAGCAATGGTACATTCATAGCAATGAGAATATACTAGCTACTACATCTTGATTTCTAAATACTATTTCTAATAAAAGTAACCAAGGCTTCTCACAGAAAAAGCCAATTCCAAGGCGGGGGCAGGGGAAGTACATGATGATCCTGGAACATTTTGCTCACCCAAAAAGTAAAAAAGTGCTTTAAAAAAATGATAATGTCAAAGAAGCAGAGAACCAGTCTGAAGAAACTTCCATTAGCCAAATATGGGACAATGTGACCAAAACATTGACAATAATGGATTATAGCTCTTGAATAAAGTAATCTTTAGGTCTGTATAGCTAGCTAGCTAGATTGTTCCTGCCCATAGTGGAATGTCAACTAACAAATGTACACAGGATGGAGTTAGAAATCACCACTGGAAACTATAATTGATTCAGTCAAAAATCATCAATAGCAGATATTAAAACTAGTGGGCAGAAGTCTGATGAAGAATAGAAGACTTACATAGTTTCAAAGTATCTTCCCACTAAAGTTCTTACCTTTCCTTTAAAGGAGAATGACAAAGCAGGATGAAAACTCTGGCTTTATGAAAATGATAGAATACCTAAAATTTGTATTTTTTGATAAAAGACAATATCAAAAACTAAGTTTTGCTTGTTTTAAAAACATGAGCCAGTTTTTATTAAAAACTGCATGCTACAAAGCACTATTTATACTACAATACTACTGTTCTTTAAAAATTACCTGTGTATGGGGAACCTGGGTGGTTCAGTTGGTTAAGCGTCTGACTTCAGCTCAGGTCATGACCTCGCGGTTCGTGGGTTCAAGCCCCACGCTGGGCTCTGTGCTGACAGCTCAGTTTTTGATTCTCTGTCTCCCTCTCTCTCTGCCCCACCCGTCCACACTCTGTCTCTGTCTCTCAAAAATGAATAAACATTAAAAAAATGTTTAATTATCTATTTATTAAAAATAGGCCAGAATATATACCAAAATTACAAAACTGATGATGCTAAATATTGAAATGATTTATTCATTTCATGTTTTACTATATTTTTAATTTCCCTACAATGAACATATATTAATTTTATAAGAAGAAAAAAATAAATATGTAAAATAAAACAAATAAGGACTAAGCAGATGCAGGGGGAAAAAAGGCAAAAAGAAATTAAAAGCCCAATAACAGTGCTTTTGTGAGTGCATGATGGGATTATGGATGATGATTTTTTTGTTTGTTTTTGATTGTGGGATTTAAGTAAGATTTAAAAACTACTTTAAACAAATAGACAATCAAATTTAAAAATGGGCAGAGAATGTGAAAAGTCATTTTGCCAAAGATGACATATGGATGGCCAACAGACACATAAAAAGATGCTCAACATAACTCATCATCAGGAAAATGCAAATTAAACCACAACGAGATAACACTTCACACCTTTCAGATTGGCTACTGTCAAAAAGACAAGAAATAATGTGTTGACAAGTATGTGGAGAGAAGGAAGCCTTGTGCACTGTTGGTGGAAATGTAAATTAGTACACCAACTGTGGAAAACAGTATGGAGGTTTCTCAAAAAAAAAAAAAATAGAAATATAACCCAGTAACTTCCACTACTGGGTATTTACCCAAAGAACATAAAAACACTAATTTGAAAAGATATATGCATCCTGATGTTTGCTACAGCATTATTTACAATAGCCAAGATATAAAAGCAACCTAAGTGTCCAATGATAGGCAAACAGATAAAGAAGATGTGGTACATACACACAATGGAACACTACTCAGCCATAAAAAAAGAATGAGGTCTTGTCATTTACAATAACATGGACGGAGAGGGTATTAAACCAAGTGAAATAAGCCAGACTGAGAAAGACAAATTCTCTATGATTTCACTTACATGTGGAATCTAAAAAACAAAACAAATGAATATACCCTTAAATACAGAGAACAGGCTGGTGGTTGCCAGATAGGAGGTGGGTGAAGGGATGGGCAAAATAGATAACTGTATTAACAGATAAAAACTTCCAATGATAAAATAAGTCACAGTCATGAAAAGTACACCATAGGGAACATAGCCAATAATATTGTAATAACAATAACTTTGTATGGTGGCAAAAGATGACCACACTCATGGTGGTAAGCATTAAATAATGCATACAATTGCCCAATCAATATGTTGCATACGTGAAACTAATTAGTACTGTATGTCAATTATACTTCAGTAAAAAAATAAAAACATAAAAACTGATGCTCACAGTTTATCAGTTTATACACTCTGTTTTTGCTATGCACACTGGAATACAACAATGATGCTTCCCTGATCCTCTCTCCTGGAGCTCCTTCCTCTTACCTTCTGGGTCCTTTTCTACATAACAAAAGATCAAAACCCCTTTCATTAAAACTTCTGTATCTGCTGCTTCTAAGACATAAATGCTGTCCCTCTAAGCACATCTGACATCACTTACTTAGCGCCCAGTGTTATTTTCAAGGTCGGCGCACGGGAATGGATCTTTATATGCTGGCTACCTCTGGTAACGTAATTTCCAAGTGCAGAGCAGTTCCACAGAATTTACACCACTGCCGTTTGCATTTCCAGCCCTGCTCTCCTGGAAGAGCATGCCCTCTAGAGTAAAGAGTGGTAAAGAGGGGTTTTTCTTAAAGTGGGGAAGGGAGTTGAGTTCAAAAATAGGTATGTCTTTTCTTTTGTACTACAAGTAAAAGATTTTTATTATTTGTAAAAATGTTTTTTAATGTTTATTTACTTTTGAGAGGGACAGAGAGAGACAGAGCGAGAGCAGGGGAGGGGCAGAGAGAGAGGGAGACACAGAATCTGAAGCAGGCTCCAGGCTCTGAGCTGTCAGCACAGAGCCCAACACGGGGCTCGAACCCACGAACCATAAGATCATGACCTGAGCCGAAGTTGGACGCTCAACCGACTGAGCCACCCAGGCGCCCCAGGAGTAAAAGATTTTTAAAACTGTGTCAGCCTCTATTAGGTTCCTCCACTCTTTCTCACTGATTAAGCAGAGTCAGGTGATGATATCTATATTCTTCCCCAACAGAGCCGTGTGTGAAACAAGTGCTTTCCCCCTGCCAGGATGATCCATCTGAGCTCAGCAGAGTCCTGTGGAAACAGGGCCCTGGAAGACAGACCAACACACGGGGAAGTGAACCTGGCTCTGCTATCCACAGAGTATTCTTAGACGCCACTTGCAGAGTTCTTCACAAAGGCAGTGTGGGATCGATTTGTAATTGGTAGCAATGCACGCCATTTGGGAATGAAGACTGCAGACATCCATCCAAAAGGTAGGCAAAGCTTGTGAACGGCTCTTAAAAATTGCCAGTGTACTTACAGTTTTCTCATTATTTTCAAAAGCTTCTCTTGCTTCTTCAAATGTGCAGATTTCTTCTTTGCATTCACGTTCAATGTTGCCCTGTCTTATTTCTTCAAAAAGTCCATTAGCTCTTGGGTAGCGTTTCAATACTGAATTGGCTTTTTCTCCTGTGAGGAAAACTAAGGAGAGAGAAAATAATAAGCATAAAATTATAATTTAAAAAAACACGTGGAAACTTCATACACAAGGTGAAAACGGCTGGGTGCTCTTTAGAAACCACAGCCAACATCCTAAACCTCTTCCCGTGAGTCAGCAACAAAGTAACATTTAGCTCCAAAACACCACGTCTGCTGTCTTCCTCATCACATGAGCATGTCCTTTCAGTAGCAGTTGCCCTGGGCAGGGACAGTGACATAATTAGCTGTTAGATTCAGACTTTAGCACATTCCTGCCAACCATCGGCGTTTAAATATAGTAATAGCGATTCCACTGCTTATACTCACTGTTGTAAGTAGATTACCTCCCAGGCATTCTGCTGTTGCACAGCAGCAACCAAATCAAAATCCAGTCTCCAGACTACCAGTCTTTGTCCCTCTAAATAAACCTAAATAAAGCTGCAACTGACCTAGCAACATAAACCCAGAGAACCCCTGCTTGTATGAAGGGAAGGGATGACAAAATAGCATCAAGAAATCAAGATAAATTTGGCCATAATTCATTCCAAGGAACACTAATTATTTTGTTCTAAGTACACTTAAAGTAAATATATTGTGATATTTTAACATATTTAACCCAATTTCACTGTCCTACAGAAAAAAAAAAAAGAAAATTCTTCTGCATAAACACTAGAGACATTTCATATAAACACTCAAAATGCACATTTATGATACCCAGTAAAATAAATAAGGCACTAGTTATATGTATACTTATGGGGAATTATTTCTATTTTAACATACAGATTCATTTTATTTTTTTAATTTTTACATTTATTCATTTTTGACAGACAGAGAGAGACAGAGTGTGAGCGGGGAGGGACAGAGAGAGAGGGAGACAGAGAATCGGAAGCAAGCTCCAGTCTCTGAGCTGTCAGCAGAGAGCCCGACGCGGGGCCAGAACTCACAAACCGCAAGATCAAGACTTGAGCCAAAGTCAGATGCCTAACCAACTGAGCCACCCAGGTGCCCCATACAGATTCATTTTAAACTATACTTCAATTTCACTTTTCTAAAAGTGTCATACTTGTTCATCTAAATAAAATGCTACAAGAATTTAATCTCTGCTAATGCAAAGAAATCAGAAAACTCTCTAATCTTACTGACTTCTAAATAAGAGAAGGCATATTACAGATAATTTTAAGATATTAAAGAAAAGTCTATATTTTACAAAGAACATTTTGAAGTAAATGAAAAATGAAAAACAGTTAAGTGCTCCTTTAAAGATGGCAACAATAGGGGTTCCCAGGGTGGCTCAGTCAGTTGAGCATCCAACTCTTGATTTCAGTTCAGGTCATGATCTTGCAGCGTGAGTTCGAGCTCTGCATCAGGCTCTGTACTGACAGTGAGGAGCCTGCGTGGATTCTCTCTCTCCTCCTCTCTCTCTACCCCTACCCCACTCACTCTGTCTCTCTCAAAATAAATACATAAACTTAAAAAAAATTGTTTTTAAATGGCAACAATAGCAATGAATTTAAGGTTTACCTCATTATAGAAATGTGTATTTCACTTTACAGAAGATATGGATTCATTACTTAGGATTCTTCAAAGTATCCAAATTGATACCAGATCGAAAACTATGAGCGGGCTTTCATAAGACTTTCCTTCCTTCTACACCTCAGAAAGATAACTATCTATAACAATGAATTATAGAGTCCTAGAATATCATTAAGAAGAAACTGTAAAAAATAAACGTTGTGGCAAGTGCTAGAAATGAAACTAAAAGGGTGCTCTGAGTTGGAAAATAGCAGTGAAATTTTTTAGCACTACTTCTCACAGTGGCAGCATGACAATTCCCTGCACGAATTAAGTCATACAGATTGCTGGGCCCACCTCCCATAGTTTCTGATTCTGCAGGTCTGGGGTGGGGCTAAGAAGCTGTATTTCTCATAAGTTGTCAGGTAATGCTGATGCTGCTGGTCTCACTACCATAGTCTGAGAACCACTACCGAAAAGTGAGCTTCTTAAAAAACTAGTTCTGAGGAAGGTGTTTATGGAATGTTGGGATTAACAAATTTAACAAATCTGTTACTGTGTGACTTTTGAGGGTCCTTAATATATATTTAATCTGTATCTGCAAATCTCCAAAAAAGGAATACATTTGTCATATTTATTTGAATACAGGCTCCTCTGAGCCCTTTATCAAAGGACACTTCACTGAATTAACAACTTCCTAGCCATTGGTTATGCCCTCTGAAATGACATACAATTCTCTTCCATGTAACAGGTCACCTAATACATGAAGATGGTAAATGATTTCCCCTGAAGTTTCTCTTTTCCAGGATAAACAGGTCTAGTTTCTTCATGTGTTGGGCACATAAAATGGACAGGAGTCTCTGCACTATCTTTATCTCATAAAATCCAGTGTCCTACACTCAGTGCAATATTCCATAACATTCCTTGTTTTTAAACACAATGTATTAATACAGTCTAAGATATCCCTGGCTTTTGGGACAGTTTTCTTTAAAATAAGCCAATCAATCAACAACAATGTATTTTAAGATTTTTAAGAGAAAAAACAAAATTCTGCTCAGAGAAAACTTTCTTTTATGCTATCTACATGGAAAAGGGGGTCAAGGAAAGCAGGTAACTCTTCTGGCCAGAAAGCAGGCTAATTCAGAAGGTTAAACAACTAACTGTAAGTAAACCTATAGTAGGACACAGCTCTCCTAACCCCAGTCTAATCAAATTACCAAGAACATTCCACAAACACATTCTGTGTATTTCTTGTACTGAGAGGCAAAGTAATATAATACTGAGAACTCTAGAATAAGCTGGCAAGTAAATTTTATGTTACTTGCCAAATCTGGTCAATTAGAAGATACTACCTGGAATAAGAATCTGACCCATAGGAAAGACACTTATAGATTAGTTACGTCTGCCATATGCCAGGGAACAGAAAATTATGGTAGGGCCTCATCAAAGCAATTTGGAAATCTAATGAACGATACCAGAATTAAGATTTTTTCAATGTGGAAACAAAATATAAAGGAGAAGGTGGCAGCTTGGACCTATAGGAGAAGATCAGACTATCTTTTCCGAAAATACTGGGCATTTCCTGTGATGCAAGGGATTGTATTTGGACTTCAAAAACTAAGGCAGTGATGTTTAAAACTAAAGTTGATCACTTCCCTCTGCCTCCTTCTCATCAAAGGGTGTGAGTCAGCCCACAGCTGTCCAGAATCATGTGTATGCCTGTATCAGAGATTAAATAATGTGACAAGTATACAGAATGAGAACACAACACTGAGGTGTTATTCAAACATGTAATTTTCTCATTAAAGGAAATAAAGAAAAACCTAAAATGTATTCTTTAGGTTCAGCTGGGAAAAAGCCTTACTAAAGAAAACATTTAAATGTAAGACTGACACATTCACACCCACCAAATAAGTATATTTATCTTAAAAATGTAACTATTTTTTCATGATTTCAAAACTAATAGCTCTCACCTCTGCTTTCTCTTCAAAAGAAAAGAATAAAAATAAATGAGAATGGCTAATGTAACTACCTATATTACTGCCTTAAATAAAAGAGGTAGTTGTAGAATATATTTCTTAATGCATTGTAGGATACTAAAACTGATATTTTAATGCCAAAAATCTTTAGCCAAGTGCAGTCACGTACAAAGATTTCCTGAAAAACAGCAGATGATAAAGCCTGAAAGTTAAGAACCACCTTTGAAAAATCTCTACTCCAATTATCTAATCAGTTCTTTCACCTTGGGTCTGATTTTGCTAAAGGAACCACTATTTAACATTACAAATGTTGACATTTTTCTCTTAGGTGAACAAAATTCTTTTTCTTAGGAAATATTTACTGAATACAGACTATGTACAAGGAGATCATAGCAAGTTACAAAAATGACTAGCAGAGGCCTCTGCCCACAAGGTTCTTCAGTGTAAATGATAATGAAGATAAAAGAGATATACCAAGAACTCTAATACAAGACTAACCATGGTGGATGCTCCTCAAGGTGAGAAAGCAGGCATAGTTCTATTGGGTAGGTATGTTTAGATGACCTAAAGGACCCCTGCAAAGCTTTTTTGGTCTGGCCTTTTAAGGACTGGTAAGATTGGGATGTGCAAAGATGGTGAGGAAAGACATCCTAGGAAAACAAAACAGTGCGAGGGCTTGGAACTGAATATAACAAGAGACATAAATAAGGAACAGGGAGTGGTCAATAGGTGCAGAGCGTAAGAATCAAAATGGGAAGTGAAAAATAAAATTGGAAATGGGGGCCAATAGCCATATCATGGAGGCACTTAATATTAAGCTAAAATATTCAAACTATTTGATGGCATTCAAGATTTTAGACCAATACTTCATTACTTAGAAAAATGTATAAATACAACAGATTTATGGGTAGGTTGAAGAGAAAATTCAAGGGAGAGAGGCTAGGTAAGAGGCTGCTGACAAGAGACCAGACTGAGAAATAATGAGGCCATGTGTTAGAACGGTGGCAACAGGAATGGAAAGAAGGGGAAAGATAGGAAAGATATGGCTGTTGGGCAATTTCTTCAGCCACTACACCTACCATGCACCTTATCCCTCCATTCAAACCAAATCTTACCATTCTCCATTTGTTTCATGCCTAATTGTGTACTAATATTTCATCTGCTTAATGAACTCCTATTCTATTCAGATGTAACAGCCTCTAAAAACTTTCTCCAGGTTCTACTATCCGCGTCATTAGACAGAGGTGCTACAGACTCTAGGTATTTGCATATAACTCAATTACAGCAAGTAATTAAACTATATTATTATTTTTGATATGCCTATCAAAACTCAAGACTGTAAGCTTCCTGAGGGCAGAGTCTGTGTATTATTAGTATTTTGATCCAGCCAGTCTTTCATAATACCTGGTAAAGAACTTGGTAAGAATAGAATTTGATAAGCATCGAATAAATGAAAACGCACAATGGGAGGAGCTTTAAGACTAAGTCACTAGAAGCTGAGAAACCATGGAC